AGGCTCCAGGCCACTGTGCTGGAATATGGTGACTGCTCCATTTGTGTCCATCTTGTAATAGACATCCTTGCAAGTGGACAGAAGGGTGCCCACTGGATATTGCTAAGTGCATGAGAGTTGTGTCAAAACCCCACTCTCAGACATTTGCAGAATCAGGCACTTCTACTGCGACAGGATCTTCCTCACCTTTGCTCTGTAGCCCGGAGTTATCATCCTTCCCAGCCCCACTGTGGTCCCACCCTGGACCACTACTAAGCTCATCTCCTCAGTTCCCACCATAGGGCCCCCGTGGGACTGTGGTCACTCCACTCTGCTGCCTAAATAGATGGTGGAGGCTGCGGGGAAGGACTCTGAGGCTCTGTTTGCATAAAGTCAAGGGCAGCTTCCTGATTCTACAGGGGAAGGGGACGTGGCCTGGGAGAGGAGTCTGTGCAGGGCTGACACCTGGTGGGACCCTGTTCTGTGCCCCCCCACCCCAGAGCTGAGCCTGCTCTGCCGGATGTGCTCGCAGGCCCTACCCTCCGGGTGTCTTGCCAAGGTGGAAAATGCCTTTGCCTGATGCTCCTGGACCAGCTGAGGCAGGAGGCACTTGGCCTGGGAGCAGATAGTTCTGCAGCTGAAGAGGCCGTGCTCACGGAGGTGGCGGGTGTGGGGCCTGGGCTGCAGCCTGAAATGGTCACTCAGAGCCAGGCGGTAACCAGGAGCTGAAAGGAGACATCATTTAATGTTCTTCCTCCTTGTAGGGAATACTTTGCCAAGTACTGTATTTTCACTCAATTAACACACAACACACTCTATGTGTTTTTTCCTCCTTAACTTCACCCTTCCCCTGTGAAGTACTTCTGTGAGAACACCATGCCAATTTTCCTTTTTACATGTTGCTGTAAAAATATTCGCCTAGCACACTTACAGAAATACCTCCAGTTAGAGGAGAGTAGCGGCAAAAATAGAACATGTGTGTGATTTGCATAAAAATATACTGGCAAGTCCCTAGGGTCTAGCAGCAGGGAAAGTGGGTTTGCATTCGATACCCTACTACACACCCCCCTAGCTCACCCCCTCAAGAAGACTTATTTCACTCAGACACCCCAGTTCTCACAGATGCACACACCTCACCCACCACCCACACAATGGAGGTCAACACACCCAGACACCCCAACCCTCCTCTCATTCCGGACTCTCCTTTTTATGTTGCTCCGGGTGGACAGCGACTTGGACCACTACAAGCGTTCAAGACCCCAGACACTACACACTGACTCAGATCTAGCTCGGAAGCATTGAATGTGCTGTTAGGCCAATTAACGGAGACGTTCCAGAAACAGGCTGCATCTCCAAACCAAGAAGCCAAATCACATGAGGGTCTCGGTTGTACACAGGTAACCTCAGGAGTGACTCCTTTTATCATCATTGCTGCAAATATATCCAGCAATCACACAGCTTTCCTTAATTCAACTTTTACAGGCGTCAACTTATTATCCAGCAGTTTAAAAAAATTGGTTGTGCAATCCAGCCCTTAATCAATGTGATCTTTGCATCATCATCAGTCTTGGTTTCACGTGCTTTGGGCATTTTGTCAGGAGTTGGTTCTTAGAAAAAGACATCATAAAAAAAAATAAGGTGGAGGGTGAGCTGACGCCACAGGTGGATGGGCCCAGTGAGTACGCCGTGAGCTCGAGCGTGGTGGAAATCCTGAGGCTGGGACGGGATAGACAAGGCTCAGGTCTGCTGTTCAGAGGGTCACTACGAGTGGTAGCTGACTTGACGGAGAAGAGAATTGACTGTCACATGGACTGCCGAAGAACACACAGGTGTGCCTTGGAGAAGGTGCGCCCAGAGCACTCCCTGGAGGCGAAGATGGGGAAACTTCATCTCACATACTTTGGGGGTGATACCAGGAAAGGCTGGTCATCGGAAAGGGATGCAGAGGGACAGTGAAGGAGAGGAAGATTGTCAATGAGAGAGATTGGCACAGTGACTGCAGCAATGGATTTGCATGTGTCAGATTGTGAGGACGGCACAGGATAGGACAGGGTTCAGATCTACTCTTCATAGAGTTACTGTGAGTCATACTCGACTCAACGGTGCTTAATACCAACAAAATGAAGCCTTCCCCCTTTTCTTTCTGTCCCACCTCTTTCAACACTAATACACTTTGATCTCTATATGTTTGTCTTATCTTTTTAATGTAGGTGAACACATACAGTACTTGTCCTTTACGACTGGCTTATTTCACTCCTCCTAGTATTGTCAAGCTCCACAGGGCAGCACAGGTCAAGGCTTCTGAGTGGCTGACCAGTCCTCCCACTGTATGTACGGACTATGTTTTGTTTGCCCATTCTTCTGTTAGTGGACATTCAGGTGGTTTCCATATTTTTGGCTACTGTGAATAATGGTGCAACACACACTGGCGTACACACCTCCTTTCAGCATCTGCTCATGCGATTCCACTGGCTGATATTTCACAAGTAGATTGCTAACATTTTTCTCTCCTAAGATACCTCCAGATGGGCTTGAACTGCCAGCCTTTCTCTTAGCAACTGAGCATGCTAACTGCTTCTACCACCCAAGAAACCGTGAGAATGATAGCAGGTGCTTAAGAAATGTTTGCATATGGACTGAAATGGACATTTACACACACACACACACACACACACACACACACACACACACACACAACTTGTCACAGTACTTGCTATGCTCACCAGACGCGTGTTTTCTAAGAACTGTCTCACTCCTCTACTCTGAGTGTGATCCCACCCAGAGCTGACTCGCCAGTGGGTTTTCAGAGGCTCTAAGTTACCCGGGAGGAGATTACTCATCTTTCCCTCACAGGACAGTGGGTGTATTTGAACTTCGTGCCTTTGGGTGGGCAGCACAACTCCTTACTAGGCCACCCGAGCTCCTCTCTTGATGATTATAAAGGGTAGAGAAGGAAGGGATAAGCATATCCCCACAAACCCGAACCCCATCTGCTGTCCACTTCTCTCTCTCAGGGCTCCTCCCACTCCCTCGATTTCTCTCTCCCCGGCCTGGTGCATTCCTCCTTCAGTCCCAGCGCCTTAAAATGCTGTCTTCCTTTTTGTTCCCCCTCATAACTCACTTCCTTAAAGTGTTCTTGGCAGTCCACACACGCCTCTCCTTCCATATGAACGCCGTGGTCATTTTTTCCACTAAAATCCCTCCAGGGCCCTGATTGGATCTGCGTTCCCTTCTATAGCAGCCCGGAAGGATGGCCACGTATGGGTTTGGGTGGGAGAAGCCCTGGTTTCTGAGCCCTGTGAGGGCGGCTCGTTCTCATTTGTCATAGCTCTCCCTGGGAGCTTTTAGGATGCCCAGAACTCAAGTGCCCTGCGTTTGTACCAGACCCTCGGGGGATTACAAGACAAATAGGAGAGGGTGATTTTGGGGTGGGAGGCACAGAGGGAGGCATGTGGCCCCTCTGGGAGCTTACCCTTTGCTCCCTCACCGGGTCACCTGAAATCCCTCCTATGGTTGAGTTCCTCTGACCAGGCCCAGGCTCTGCCCCAGAAGCCGAGGAGCTGGGGCCCTGCTGACCGCCCTCATCTCTCCTCCTGGCCTCCACTGTGCTCACCCAGAACCTCTTCTCCATCCACACCCTGCCCTCCCAGGCAGAGTGACCTGGAATTGAGCTGACACCAGAAACCCAGGCCGGGCAGACCTGGCTCCCTCTGAGCCTCACCCCCAACCCCGTGGGAAATTCCCAGTACCCTAAGCTGCGAAAGCCCCTGAACAGAGAGCAGAGTGTCGAGACAGACTAGAACCTGGGCTGCAGATTAACTGGACACCCAGGCAGGTCGTTTGCTCGCCCCAGTCTCCATTTCTAAGATGGATCGCGTGGCCTTTGTGGGGGACACTCTGGTAGGAACCCCACATGGGCATCATAGACACAGTGTGGGGAGAGATCTGACTAGGAAGCTCCCTCCCTCGATGCGAGGGTGCCCACCACACAGCTGGCCACAGCCACCTTCTGTCCTCAGTCTCAGTTTGGGGTGAATCAGAATCAACTCTTGGCACTCCTGGGCTTGTGGCTTTGCCTTGAGTCTCCATGTTCTCATCTGTGAATGGGTGCATTGGTCCCAAAAGGAGTATATGTCTGTAGTAACCCCCGCGGTCTCCCCTGGACTCAGGGCATTGTCACTGGGCGTGGGTGCTGGTGGGCTCAGGGTCTTGGATTCCTAAGCTCTGCCAACTGACTGCCTCCTGCTGCCTACAGCATTTGTCACTGTCACGATGTCTGGTCCCACTCTGGCTCAGTGAGTGGACGCATGTCTCACTCCCCTGGGCATCTTAGGGGTGCAGACCTGCTCTGGGTTGCAAGTGGGAGAGGCAGACTCTTCAGGACCCCTCCGAGGACAGTGTACCAGAACCATGGAGGGCTATGCCAGCCCCAGTGGCAGCGGCTGGGGTCGGAGGGCCCCCACCCAGCCCTGGCTGCTCAAGGGTAGAGCGTTTGTGGAGAGGTGGCATCTTCCTCTCCAGCTTCTCACTGGGCTGCCTCTCCTCCTGCAGACCTGCCAGCTGCTGGGAGAGTCTGATGCTTCAAGATGCGTGTTTCAAACTCCAAAGTGTTTAGATGTAACCTCCATTAGTTCTTCAATGTGTGATACTCAGAGAGGGTGTGTGACCAGCCCAGGGTCACACAGCCAAGCTGGGCAGGAGCTCAGGTCCCCTGACCCCACACACAGTGGGGTTCTCTTTCTGCCTGGTTTTGGGGTGGGGCAGGAGGCTGCAGAGGACCTGGCTGTATTTCCCCTGGATGTGCTGCAACCCCTCCCCACCTGGTCAGCACCCCCTGTGCTCCAGCAGCCCTGCCTCTCACCCTATGCCTCACTCTTGTCCCCTCAGTGGGCACCTCCCTGCCTCCTCTCATGTGCCCAGTCTCTTAAATGTCCACCACCCTAGAGGGTCAGACCGTGGGATAGGGTGGGGTGGGGAAAGGACCCAGGACCCCTCTCCGAGCCCCTGTGGGCAGGACTCACCGAGGCCGGGGTGCTGCCCGCAGCTGCGGTCACTGCTGCCAGCATCCAGGGCAGGAAGCACCTCATGCCTGGAGAGAAAGGCATCCAGGAGCCCAGCAGATCGGCCACCTCTGGGGGAGCTGGCCGGCAGGGGCCCGGCCCATCAGGAGCGTCAGCTCTGTCTCTTCCCCCAGCCCTTGGGGGCTTTTATTAAAACAAGATCTGACGTCAGGGTTAAGGACAAACCCAGCATTTTCTTCTGAAAAAACTTTTCCTGCCTCTCTCTGGTTTTTTTCTTTTTTTCTTTCTTCCCCTCTGTCCCCACCTCCAGCCCCGCTTGGCCAGCCTCCCCGCTCTGACAGCTCTTAAAGGGAAAGTTGCTGGACTGTGATTTCATGCTGGGGTGCTGAATTCCCACCTCGAGCCCAGCCATTGGAGCCAGGAGTGGAGGGTGGCACCTGGCCGAGGGGGCGCAGATACAGTTACAGGAGGTGCTTTTGAAAGGATTCCCAGCAGGAAAAGAAACTCTTTGTCTTTGACTCAGTCTGTTCCTGTTCTGGTTTTCATTTGTCATCTCTTGTAAGCAAAAAGAGAAGGGCTCAAGATCACCAATCCAGAAACACGTTGTTGTGACTGTTGTTAGACACTCTCTAGTTAGCACAACAGGATGACCATTGCCTGCATGTCCTGCGCCGTCCTCACCCTCGGGCCTGGACATGAGCCCTTGTTAGAGCCGCTGGGTCAGTTGGTCTCATCACGAGTCTTCCTCTATTTTACTGCCCCTCTGCTTAACCAAGTGTGATGGCATTGTCCAGGGACCAGTCGGATAAGCACTCACAGATGAAGACAGTCTGAGGCACAGAACATCATCGTCACCTGTTCCAAAGAGTCCAGCTGGATTTAGGGTCAGCGGTGGCTCAGTGGTAGAACTCTTACCTTCTATGCTTGTGACCAATGTTTGATTCCACCTGGATTCCACCTGGTTACAATGTTGGACAGGTTTCAGCAGCACTTCCAGATGAAGGTGGAGTAGGTACAAAGGTCTGACAATGTATTTTCAAAATAGTTATTGTTGTTAAGTGCCATCAAGTTGTAGGCGACTCATAGCGACTCTATGAACGAAAGTCCTCAACACTTGTGTGATTTTCGTCCTTTCTCCAGGTTCATATGGTTTCTGGAGACAAGCTATTTCGGAAGTGGATGCCACTCCTGCTTCCAAGCTTGTTTCAACTGGGGAGCACCACCCAGCACTGTCCACCGTGGGTAACTGTTACCGCGTTTGACACAGTTCATAATAGTAGCTTATGAAAATTCCGTGGATTCCCATGGTCTGAGCTGCGCCCCATCACTGGACTGGGGCAGCCCCAGCAGCATTTTCTTCTGTTGAGTCGAGGACCAACTTGACTGTAGCCAGCAATGACACACTTCAAAGCTGTGCTTCCCAGTTTCCCAGGCCAGCAGCCAGCAACCCTGGGTGTTGCTGCCGACCCCTGTAAGTCCAGGACAGAAGCTGTGCTTCCGTCCCAGGGACCAAAGAACAAGCATGCAGAAGACTTGAATGTCCAGAGGAAGTAACCCTGGACAGCTTGCAAGAGAAATGAGATGAGGCATCTTCTAGGAGGTCTGGTCTTCCCCGATCCAGTGCTGCCGTGTCCAAAGCGGACCCATGCAATGGCTCTCACTTGCCCCGCAGCCTCTTTCTCTGCCTCTACTGAACACATTTCTCAGAGCAAGTGGAGTAGCCCTTGGATAAACACATTTAGATCATGTCACACTCAGGGATACAGGTTTCACAAGCTCTGGGCACAAGGCATGGACTCTCGGTCCCTGTGTGGACTCCAAGGCCAGCTCCCCAGTCCCTCTGGTGACTGTGACTGAGGAATCATGACCTCTGTGTCCTTCCTGGCACACCTGGCCCTTTGCTTGTGCCTTTCTCTCAACCAGGAACACTCCACTCTCAGATTTTCACTGCAATGACCCTTTTATTTCTTGTTGCTTCCAGTTTATCCATGAGAGAATGTGGAAATACTGCTGCTGCAAAGAGTCTGTGGAGAGGTTGTGACCAGAGATATGATCCCAGCAGATGTGACTCTGATCAGCTCTCTGTGTGTTCTGATCTGGTTCTGGCCAAAGGCACACAAAAGGAAGTTTACTGAAGGCTGTTAGGAAGCATTTCCTTCTTCAGGAAGGAAAAAGGTATGTCTCCAACTACCTGCATGTGACTGTGATGGCAGGAGCTACAGCAGCCATTTGGTGCTTGTGAGGCACTAGCTCGAGTATACAAACTCATCACACAGAAGATGGCAGGGCAGATGAAAGGAAAGAATTTGGGTCCTTGAAACTTTGCATGTGCCTTGACAAAATCCATAATCAACACCATCAGAGTTACTGCTTCAGAGGATAATTCAAGGATATTATTGTTCAAATCATAGCTAATCAGGCATTTTGCTCCTTAGAGCCAAATTCTCCTCATTGATGTAGGAATTTACTGAAAGGGCAGTATGCAGAGTGACATTAGTGTGTTTGGCGTAGAGACCACCTGATAGATTTCCTTTTTATTAATTTACCTGATGCTCTGAAAAAGAGTCACGTGAAGCAGACGTTATGGAAAGGTGTCATTAAATGACACACTTGAGGTGTAAGGTTCCACCTCAACTGAAGGGTCTTTGATGCACACGAAGGCTGGACAGGCCCTGGGCTGTGAAAAGCTGGTTGGGCAGTCATATGTTTTACTTGTAGCTGGAGGTGTCTCAGAAGAAGGGCCTGGAAATCTCCATCTGAAAAGTGAGCCACTGAATGACCTGTGAGCCCTCTTCTTCTTCTTTTATTTTTAATATTTTTTATTTTAATTGTGATTATAATGAGCCCTCTTCTCTGATGAGCCCAGTGCTGTGAGCCTGTGTCTGCCGGACAGCTGCTGGATTTCCTGGGTTTATGTGGTCTCTTTGGTGGCCTCGTTCTAACCCATTGCTTCTCACATCTGCCTCAGTGTCCCCACGTGCCTCCTTCAGGTTCCAATTCGTCCCATCCCCCTCACTTTGCCCCCAGCTCCCCACCAACCCCACTGGTTGTATCTCAGTAGCCTGTCAGTGGGTGAAGGGAAGTTTCTCTGGGTTCAGGTCAGTTGTCGCTGTAACTGATGCCTCTCTAGTCCAGCAGGTGACCCAGTACTGCCAGCACAGGCCTGGGCTGGACTCCTGCCACCTGCCACCCGCCTGATGCGTCACTTGGAGAGGTCACACACACTATCTCTTTGTCCTCTGGGGCAGCAGAGGCTGTGGTCACTCTGAGCACCTTCAGTCCCATGGTGAGTGTGCGGGAGAGATGTGAGGATGGTGTGATTTTGTCTCTCCTACTTTGTGTTATCAGGAGGGACCTGATCCTGGAGCAGGACATGGTGCAAAACGGAGGAAGAGCGTCAGTGAGGTACTGTGGTTACAGCGACAGGCTTTCACACAGCAATGATTGTGAGCACGGAGCAGGAGTGAGGTAGATGGACACCGTGGTCACAGCGACAGTGGACGGAGACTGTGGTCACAGTGACAGTGGACGGAGACCGTGGTCACAGCGACAGTGGACGGAGACCGTGGTCACAGCGACAGTGGACGGACACCGTGGTCACAGCGACAGTGGACGACACCGTGGTCACAGCGACAGTGGACGGAGACCGTGGTCACAGCGATAGTGGCTGGACAGTAATTGTGAGGACAGAACAGGGAAGTGTTTCTACCTTGGAAATAACTCGAGGGCCCCCAACATGAGATCACACAGGAAGTGTTCAGGTCCTCAGTGTCTCCTCTATGAAGACATTCCTGCCTCTTCTCTGGGCTGGAAGCACCTGGAGGACAGGTTAGGACGAGGTCAGCTGCATCCCTGCCTGGCACATAGTAGGTGCTTAGCTGTGTGTGGTGAAGGACAGGTAAACTGCAGTCCTTGTTGGGGACCAGGCTGACACACTGCTCTGCTCAGCCCCTCCCAGCCTGTGATCCCACAGCCAGCAAACTCTACCCTGGGCAGAGTTTCTAGCAGTGTCTGTGACAGACCTCCCAGAGCAGCTGTAAATGAATTCCAAAGGGGGCTGATGGCGGAGTTTACAAAGCAGAGACCTGGCATGACTTAGTCAAACAGTAAGGCATCTTGACCAGAACCAGACACACAGGCGATTCCAGGAACATCTCAGAACCAGGCGCCTGGGGCCCCTGCTGCCGCCGTCTGTGCTGGATCTGCTTGTAGCTGATTTGATGTTTACTTGTTCCACTGGCTTCCCCCCTTCTGTCAGTGTGTCACCCTGAGGATGTTGGGGTGCACCTACACCAAGCGACTTCTCAGAGTGGGTACCACCAAAATGATAGTTGATAAGATTTTGTGGCAAGCAGTATCAAGAACCTATATCAATAACTTTTTGTGGATGGATTTGTAATTCAAGAAAGCACAGTCAAAAAAGGGCTTCCACTCAGTTACTAATAGTATCATAACATACGTCATTCAATGCAGAAAGATTTTATAAAAGAGTTTGGTGTTAGTATTAATATTATTTAAGAAAAATGGCATTTTAGAAATCTACAGTATTTTATCATATATCAGCCTATTGTTAAAACTGTTAGTAAAAACTGGTAGTAAAGATTCTTGTAAGCAGGAGTGGCACCCACTTCCTAAATAACATGCCTCAGGAAAGTCTATGAACTCTGATAAATGTTGATAGTTATAGAGAGGCTCCAGGCCTTTTGTTCATGGGGTCACTATGAGTCGTGCTTGACTTGAAGGCAATCAACAACAGCAGCAAGAAAGAACAACAACAAAGATTCTTAGCTCTGGTAGCCTAGTGGGTAAGGAGTCGTGCTGACAAACCAAAGGTAGAGGGATTGAATTCACCTCAGAGAAACATGGGCAATCTCTTCCCACACGATTTATAGTTTCTGAAAATTCAATGAAGAGTCAGCCACAGGTCTGTTTCTATTTGACAGCACAAAACAACAAGAATTATGTCTGTCTGGTAGAAGAGAAGTTCTTGGGAGGCAGGCAGGAGAGAGAAAGACGCCATGAGTTAGCACAGTGGTAACATCAGCCCTAGAGAAACCACTGCTGTG